GGGCCTCGGGTTCTGCTCGTGCGGGTGCTTGAATGCCCCAGTCAAGCACACGCACGAGTGGAACTTGTCCAACGGGTTCGGATGAAAATAGTCGACGAAAAAAAAAAAATTAAGAGGTTAAGGGTTCACATATTGGTTATCAAAATACTAACACTTAGAGGGTAACATAACACAGTCCAACTACTAACAGATCATGATACTAACATTCTCACTATTAAATGAATAAAAACACTAACCATTTTTATGCTAAATTATACTTATGTAGAAATACAAACATAGAAAATGAATATTTATAACACAGGCGGCCCAATCCAGTAGCAAGGGCACTCTTGGGATGAGCCTTACACACAATACAATAAGACAGGGAAAAGGGAAAGCCCCTTATCTTTTACACTTCAACTAATTTCAATTTCTTTAGCTAGCTCCCTTCCTTAGCCTCTTCTTCCTTCCTGGTTTATCACCCCCTCTTTTCTGCTGAATCTGAATCGCGATGAATTCACTTTTGCCCGCCTCGGCCGCCTAGTGGTCATGGGATCGTCAACACGCTGAGTTGTTTCAGGGACTGAACATCTTACAAACTGCAAACTTGCTATGGACTCTGACTCAATTGCCTGTGATTATGGGATTGCACTCGTGCAATTGCATAAGGCAGATGTGCGAGTCAGAGGACTAGCAGGATGGAGATATTCTACGGAAAAAAAAAGAAAAAAAAAAAAAAAACTTCCAAAAATAATAAATAATAATAATAATGAAAAATAGCCTCATGTTATGTTTTCCTATTCTTCACCTGGGTCATCAATCCTTTCTTTCAATTTCACTATCAGCCCCAGGATAACATAATAACGTTTCTGTATGCATATGTGTATGTATATTTGTGTATGTTATATTTATATATGTATATATGTATGTATATGGATATGTGCGGCACCACACCTACTCGATGGTCTCCTTATGTTACCCATCCTCTTCCTACTTTTACTAATCTTCGCCCTGATTCTCTCTATACTCTCGCTTTCTTCTCTCTTTATATTTCCAATCAATTCCGACCCAAGTAACTCCTCTCATCTCTTCCCTGTTCTGTTTTTTGTTTTTTTACCATGTTGTGTTTTGTTCACCATGTTTTGTTTAACATTTTTTGTTACCATTCTCTTTCTTCGTTCTCCCCATTTGCTAAGTCAGATTGTTGTCATAGAATGCACTCCCCCTGAGAATGTATATTTATGCCACTTTATTATTTTATCCATTTATCCATCCTATCATCCCACCCAACCATCTTCCCCCATCCCTCTTTCTCTATCTAGCTGATCTCCCCTTCGTCACCCTCTTTCACCATTTATTTCAATCTGGCCTGGAACTCCCACCTCTTTAACTTGTTTGCCTTTGTTTATAGCAATCAAAAATCAATATTAAAATATAAAATAACAAAATCAAATAAAAAAAATCCTTATGTTCCAAGTGTTCACGTAGAATTAGTCATTATTAATATTGTTACTTAATGATATCAATAAAAAACAATAAATATAAAAATCAACAAAATTATTTCACTTTGAATTAACCATCACTGTTTTCCCTTACAAATCAAATAAAACAAATAATAAAAACAAAACAAAATCCTAAAAATTAAATATATCTCTTCAAAAACTAAAAATATTTAAAACAAAACAAACAAAAAAAAGAGGTTCTTTACGTTTAAGTTTACTTAAGTTCATATAAGTTTATCATTCCATGTTTAACCGTTCAAGTTTTGCTTTCATTTTGTATTATTATTTACCACTCCTTAACTCGTCAGCATAATGTCAAACCAGTCAATCACTTACTCCCCTCCCCACCATATTCCATGCGAATATAAATGCATTTTTTATATGTAACCCGCAAGGGGTTTTCGCCCCCCCCTCTTTAATTTTTAACACTTATTTCTTTTCTATCTTCTCCTCCTCCCTCTCTTCTTTCCCTCCTTTAGTCCATTTCGTTCATTCAGCATCTTACATACCTCGGCATTCACCTCACCAATAACCACTCATGCAACACACAGATCAAACTTCATCATCGATAAAGCAAACAGAACACTGGGGTTTCTGTGAAGGAACCTACAAAACTGTACACCTGACAAACACGTAGCTTACAACACACTTTTACACCCAACACTAGAGTACTGTATGGCTGTATGGGACCCTTACACTAAGCAAAACATTGAGAAGCTCGAGCAGGTCAATAAGAGGGCTGCCAGATTTATTACACACAAATACTTATGTACACCTGATATTACATCTCACCTTAAAAAACAGATTAATATGGACCTGCTCGAGACATGCAGACAAGTACACATATAATCTTATAATCATGTAAAAAATCACAAAAAAACTTACATCAACAAACACAAATACTTTCAAACAGCACATTCACGCAATACAAGGAACTCCCACACCAGCAAATTTATCACATATCACACCACACTGACTCTTACAAGCACTCATTCTTCCCACATACCGTAGAATATACATATAATATACATATAATAAAGCATATATATACATATATAATGTATATATTTATATGTACATTATAATATAGTATAAACACATAAATAATTAAACACATAAATAATATACATACATAAATAATATATACATATAAATAATATATACATGTATTAATAATTATACATGTTAAATAATATATACATGTAAATAATATATACATGATAATAATATATACATGATAATAATATATACATGTAAATAATATATACATGTAAACAATACATACAAGTAAATAATATATACATGTAAAAAAAATTTACATGTAAATAATATATACATATAAATAATATATACATGTAAATAATATATACATGTAAATAATATATACATGTAAATAATATATACATGTAAATAACATATACATGTAAATAATATATATATATCATATATACATGTAAAAAATATATATATCTTACATACATGTAAAATATATATACATATAATACATATATATACATATATTAATATAATATATATTATATAAAATATACATATATATATATTAATATATAATATATAATATAATATTATATATATATACAATATATGGATACAATTATATTAATAATATATACATATTTAATATATGAATACATAATATATATATAATATATACATTATAAATATGATAAATAATATAAATAATATATATCATATAATATATGAATACAATATATATATAATATATATACATATAATATATGAATACAAATATATAATAATATATATAATATATGAATACCAATATATATATAATAATATACATATAATATATATATGAGTAAATATATTATATAATATATATATAATATAATATATAATTATATATATATATATATATATAATATATATACATATATATATAATATAATATATCTATATAATATATAATATATAT